AGGGGTATACCCGTAATGTGGGCCTCCCAGGTAGCCAAGTCCTGGGCACTGATGGCACAAGGCGGCACAAGGGCGGCACAAGGGCGCCTTGTGCCAATTACTGATGGGCACAACGCTCCCGTGCTCCATGAGTAATCAGGCCTGGCGGGCGCCAGCGGACGGTCGCCTGCGGTCCTCCCGGCGTGCGAAGCGCGGCACGCGGACGGCGGGGCGCGCGGAGAGAGGCGCTGAGGGCGGCCTTCGGGGTCTCCACTCGGCTGAGGATTCCCCCACGGGCGGCGGAGGGGCGCCTGGGCATCGCCGGAGCGCTTTCCGTCGCCTGCGGTCCTCTTGGGGGGCGGAAAGACGGCGGGGGGGCGCGCGGAGAGGCGCCCAGGACAGCCTTCGGAGCCCCGCTGAGGAGCACTTTGCGCAGGTAGGTGGATAGGGCGCGTCAATCTGGGACGCAGCGGCGCCCTGGCCCAGACGTGCAGGGGCGCGCCCCCAGAAGTGCGGGTGGGGAAAGGCTGGATTTTGTCGCGCCAGCAAGCCGCCCCGTGCAGCGGCCGCTCACCAGATCGCGGCCACCAAGAGAGCAAAAAATGCGGCAGGGTGCAAGGGGAAGGGCGCCGCGACGGCGTGGATCGCGCATTATCAATTCCCAGGCACTCAATGCCGATCTTGGAGCCAGCCCCTTTGGAGTGTCCAAAGTGTCCCCTTGGAGGCTGACCGACCACCCGGGTGAGAACACTTTAGTGGGTGGATAGGGCCCGCCAATCTGGGGCGCAGCGGCGCCCTGGCCCGCGACGGCGTGGATCGCGCATTCCCAATTCCCAGGCGCACAATGCTGATCTTGGGGCCCCTGAGTGTCAAAGTGTCCCTTGGAGGCTGACCGCCCACCCGGGTGAGAACGCGTTTGGTGGGTGGATAGGGCGCGCCAATCTGGGGCGCAGCGGCGCCCTGGCCCAGACGTGCAGGGCCGCGCGCCCGGGAGTGGGGCAGGGGAAAGGCTGGATCTTGTCGCGCCAGCAGGCCGCCCCGCGCAGCGGCCGCTGGCCAGATTGCGGCTACCAAGAGAGCGAAAGTTGTGGCAGGGTGCAAGGGAAAAGGCGCCGCGGCGGCGTGGATCGCGCCCTCCCAGCTCCCAGGCGCTCAATCCTGATCTTGGAGCCCCCCCCCCCTCCCCCTGAGCGCCGAAAGTGCCCCCTCGGGGGCTGACCCACCAGTTGGGTGAGAACGCGTTTGGTGGGTGGATAGTGGCCCTGCACTGTCTTGGTGGGTGGCACAAAGCTCGCATATCTTGTGCCAGGACAGGCACCTGGAAATTGCAAGGAGATGTAGTGTTTTGGAATAATGAACTAAAAGCATTGGTGGGGCACTGGTTGGCAAGTTGCTGACAGGCCCACGCACAATGCCACATGCACTGATCTGCTGGTTGCCACTGCAGGCCCAACTGCTTGGAGGAAGGCACGGTGCAGGGCTTGGGAGGAGCGCGGCAGCCGTTGGCATGAGCGAAAGGGACGGGATGGTAATTCATACGGCCCCGCTCAAGCAGACGTGGAAATCCACGCCAAGGAAGGGCACCAAGCGTGTGCAGAAGGCCACCAAGAATGCCAGGCGCCTCATCAGCGACCCTTTCCAGAGGGAGAGATTTTCAACGTGGCGAGGGAGGCGGCCTTCTGGTGAAGCACATCTTGCTGGGACAATAGCATGAGCATCAAAGCAACTCGTGATGTGCTCTGAGAGCGTACGCTATCGGATGATGGACTGCCCTTTGTTGTTCTGCCTGTGGATCCTGGAAAGTTTTTGGCGTGTCCCACATGCTTTGGTGGCTCCTTGTGGAGCCGTCAGCCTCCAGCATTGGATTGTGAAACAACCCTGTCATCTTGGACCATCTGCAAGTTCCAGCAAGCACGATCTCAAAACCCCCTCTTGCCAGGTACAGCACTCGAATTGTGCTGCTGAGTAGCCCGGTGTCGGATGACTGCTGAAGATTGCCAGTGGCCATGAAAATGCAACCATTGGACCCACCACCCTGCAGCTTATGGAATTTGTTTGCATTGCTGCTTATTAATGGCATGTCTGCAGGTTGGTCTACGTGCAAGGTGATCGCGAACGGAGGAAAAGCCACTGGCAGACCTCACCCCCAGCCAGAGAGCCAATCAGGGTCAATGGGCAAACGAGCAATGTTGCCAGGCAGAATTGTAGGACGAAAACAGGTGCCAAGGGAAGACGGCTGTTACCACAAGACATTGTGCGTATGATAGCATAGGGTCACTGAGTGAGAGTGAAGCTCTGGCTGAGGAGAGAAGTAACACAGCTTCAGGTCAGCAGCTCTCGATACCTTCAGCACCATTGGCTCTGACGATCGTAAGCCAGCTGTCATCAACACTTTTGACGACATCGCAGCTATGCTGCAAGCAGGGCTGCTAATTGGAGCCTTTCTTGCTGAGCAAAACAGGGTTGAACTTGAGAAGGAGGGGATCACACACGCATGGCAGGCTTATTGTTGTCCTGTTGATGCTGATGTTGCTCTTGTGGAGGGTTGTGCAGTGATTTTATAGTTTTGCTCACTGTGCTTGGTTGCCACAAAGTGTGTGTTGAGATGCGCAGATGCCCATATTTCTGTCAGGCAGCCACCCACAAACGAAACTGGTTGTTACTGTTGAGGAGGGTGTGCAACTGGTTTGAGCTTGTGCGAGCCCTGGTTGCCCTCTGCCTCTGGTCCTGGTGAATAATAGATGGCAACAGCCCCAATAGCGATTGAGCACTGTCTGAAGAGAACACAGCCAAATGGGCCAGACTGCTCATTGTCTGGGGGAAGGTTGTGTGTTTGCATCTGCTGTCAAGAGATCGCAAGCCCACAAACTCCATCACGTTTTCTTGCGAGGACAGTAGGGGCCCTTGGGTTGGTTGCTGTTTGGTGTATGGCTAGTCCCTCTTGGGTTGATGTGCAGGTTGGTGTTGGTGATGACCTGGCCCAAAGTTATGATGGAGTGTTTCCTTGCCACAACATCAGTGTCTCGGATACTGCGCCCGCTGATCTGTGGCATTTCAATGAATGTTTTGAGTTCATGGATGCCTCACAAAAGTGTGGGGGTGTGCACCACTATGCTGCTCAGTTTGTTGCGTGCTTGCGGTTGTCTGTGTTTTGCTCACAACCACCCCTATGCAGGATAACGTCAACCTGATGCATTGAAGAAAAGCATCTGTCAAAAGGTATTTTGTTTGCAGCTTTATTGGCAGCGGCACAAACTGTGTCAAGTTGTCTTTCCTGGTAAAATTAGATTGATCGAGGTGAAGACTGTCTTACTGTGATGTGTTGGTGTGGCTTGGACGACGTATTTGTTTGCCTTTCTGCTTGAAGTTCGGACATTGCACCTTGAGCACGCTGTCCATCAGCATCGTCTCGCTGTGCAGGAGCATCCTTCAGCTCTTGATCCAACATATGTACTTACCCTGTTCAGGTGGCGTTCTGGTCCGCTGTTTCGCTTTTATCTCTCGATCGGCAACTGCCATCGGTTGCTTTTATGGAAGCTCAACCTGAGCCAGCTTGGTGGAGAGTGCTGGAAGTTGCACACAGCCCAAGGAGGGTTTCCGCAAGCAGTTTCAGGTGTTTGAGGATTTGGGTGGGCACCTTGATTTGCTGGAGCAGTGGTGTTCATGCGAAAAAGGGCTTCAACTTCAGTGACATGTATGTGTGGTACATCTGCTCAGTTGCTTCAAGAACAAGATTGCTTTCTAACCGCTATTGTTACCTCAATGATGCTACTGTCAGTTGGTATGGAATCGCATCTGACCAGGATGGGTATGGTCTACATCTGGTGGTCATAAATGGGGCCGATTGAAACAACAGTGGTGGGGGGGATGGGGTGGGGGGCAATGTGCTGGTGGTCATGAATTCCCCAATGCGCATATGTAAATTGGGACTAGGACTTATCGCCTTGTTCAATAGGCTGCTTGCCATGGGGTTGTATTCCTGAAACCAGCTGTGCAAGCCTCTGGTGCCCACCTTTAGTGTCGACTGACACAGTACAAATCAGCTGTGTGTGCTGTGTCGGGAGGCTAGGAAATGTTGCAATATGAATGGTGTCCTGCCCTGCTTGAGAGGGGTGCTTCCATAACGAAGCAATGTAAATGGCACAAAGAAGGGTTGGTGGTGGTTGGAGTAGGACTGACAGGGTTGGCAACGCTTTGCAGTGAGTGAATGCAAATCAGAATTACGGTAGGCTGTGTGGGGTGGGCTGGGTGGCCAGCTATGCCATGTGGCATTGCCACCATCTGCACGTTCTGAATGAAATTAGCATCAGCATCTCCATTGTGGTAACACCATTGGAGTAATGCCACAGTCCAGTTTGGAGTGATTGGTGGTTAACGCAAGTCCCAATGCCCATGTCTGTGTTCCCTCAGGTGTGTATGTTTCATGCATTCCAAGGTGCAAGGGGCGGCAGTGGTGCGAACTCTAGTGGATGTGGGGAAATGAGCTAAATGAACAAGACAAAGTATTCAACTCATTCTGCTGTGAAGGTGTGGCCCATCTGGGCCCAATGCTGCGGTGATATCAGTCTGGATTGTGTGTACGAACGCTCATGTCTGTATGCCTCCTCAGGGGATGGGACAATTTTGAGAATCTCAGGTTCCAGCACATAATTGCTTTGTCTTGTGAATTTGACAGTAGACAGTTGGAATCTGGTATTGGTCGCCCTTGCAAAATGTCAATCAAGACTGTCCAGAGTGGAGCCAATGTGTCCGAGAGGCAAGACTGTATGCTCGGTCGACGTAAACAGGTGCAGTGAGTTGCGAGGGCCCGAACTCGGGCGTTAGACCCCATAAGCCAAAGATGTGTGCCCAATGTGGCACGGCAAGCTCTACAAGGGGCCGACCAAGGAGCATGGTCATGTCAGGCAAGCCCACCATAATTGTGCTCATCGCCTGGCGGCCAAGACGAGGGAATAACTCAAAGAGCACAGTCCAGAGGGATTATTAACAGACGTACATGATGTGCGATGAGCCCAACACGACTGAGAAAACCTGTTCGGCGCCCGAAAAAACACAGCACACCCTTGTGCACACCAGAGAAAGCAATTGCTGGAGGGCATCCTCGTCCATTGCCTGTAAGCCACTTTTTCTGTCATCATGAGCATATGATGCAGCACCTTCACATCACAGTGCACCCTGTTGACTCCTGTGCGGCTCCACCACCCCAGTCGCCCTGCCGGTGGGCAGCCAACCCAGGTACAGAACCAGCTGGAGCGACGATGTCAGACAGCATGCGCAGTCTACCATCTGCAACTGCCCCATTATAGTTTTCCACGGGGTCCTGTGCATCGCGACTGTGCCCCCAGACTGGACAGCAGCATTCACACAAGAGCTTCGTGTTTAGCGGAGTTGCGGCCGTTGTAGGTACAGAGTCCACATATTCGCAACTGAATATGTGGACTATGAAGCCACCCTTCAGCGCGTCCGAAGAAAAGAAGGGAGCAAACACGAGGGGCTTCACTGCCATGAGCTCCACCGGAATGTTGATCGAGTTTCCACATGTGTCATTGATGGGATCTCCGACCGTGTCACCGCTGACACCGTGGGCCTCAGAACCCTTCCCTCCAATGTATTTTGGATGCTCGCACGCTCCCGCGTGCATGTTCATTCACAACACCCTACCACGCAAGTCTGCCTCCAGCGCAGTCTTTCAGCGGGGTAAGAAACGCCAAAATTACTGGTCATCTGTTGGTTTCAAATGTGCGGAAATGTCTGAACGTGTGTGCATTGCAGCTTGCTGGTGCGCTGCATTCAACTGTGCTGAAGATAAATGCACCCAAGGATGCGTTGGCCTGCAGCGAAAGAAATTGCCTAATGGAGGAAAGATTTTGCTCGGGAAAGTCTACTCAATTTGGGGCAGCCTGGCTGCAGTCCATCAAAAGCCGAGATTGCCTTGGATGGTTCTCTTCTTGATGGCGTTGTCAAGTATTTTAAGGGATTTATCTGTTTTGGCAAGCTGCAGTTGGCCGCTGGATGGCGCACGTGTGGTTTGGTCGCTGCTTTTCAGTGCGATTGCGTGTTTAGCATCACCTCCAGATACTTCTTTGCGTTGTCCCACGCCCCGCCCGTGTTAGACATGGACAATGCCATCTGCACCCCCAACGCCAGTGCGCCCACCAGGACTCCCACGAGCAAGTGCATCCCAAACAGGACGCCAACCATGATGGGCGTGAGCAGGGCCAGAGCGCCGAGGGGGGCCATTGCCTTCAGGGAAGCGTGGGTGGATATATCGACACATCGGGAATAGCCGGGCTCTCCTGTGCCTCCATGATGCCAATCGTTGGGAATTGCACGTGAACTTCATTGACCATTGTGAGGCCAGCTTTGCCGACTGACCTCACGGTGAGGCTGCTGAACCAACAGGACAACATAGCACCCACCAGGAGCCCACTGAACACCCCCGGCAAAGTCACAGCGCTTCAACGGCCATCGGCTCTCTCCCCAAGGGGCAAATCAACTTCGGCCAGCACCGCAGCTGACATGTTCTTCATTCCGCGTGCATATGGTGGGATTGCGGCTTCATGGAGCATCAGAGAGGAGGGCTTTGAAACAAACAGCGTACCATTCAAAGCAGAAAGTGTAGCCATCCACGCAAGGAACAAACAACAGGCGAGCTGAATCCAACACAGCGAGCAGCAAGGAAGCTCTCAGTAGAGACAGCCAAATCCCGAATACGGAGCTGAACGCAGTCCCTCTTGTGGCTGGGCATGCCCTGCGGCGTGGAGCATAGATAAAGGCGGCGGAATGGAACCCACGCCACATCTTCAGGGTTGTGGACCCTCGTGACATGACTATCGGATGCTGACAGAACAACGGATTTCCAGAGAGCTAATTGAAGGGAGCTGACATTTTGCATTTTACTTATAAAGAAATTGTTGTTGGAGGATGTATATTCAGTCTCTCCAAAAAATTATTGTTGGTGTATATGACAACATTGGCAAGTGTGACGTGCTTACTTGGGGTTAGGCTAAAATTGACATTTCTGAAGCGGCGGTTGGTCAAAAAAGTGCAAATCAGCTTATTTAGGAGCTCCTGATGCCAATAGCGACTTGAAACGTCCAATTCCATGTAGAAACGGTGAAGTTATGGCCAGTTGAAGTTGCAGTACTTTAGCATGGGATTCGGACCGGGAGATAGAAGCATCGGGGATTATGCTGAGCTGATTTAGGTGAACGGTGGACGGTGACGATGTGCCTGGACGCGCACTTGTGTTGTCTTGTCTTGATGTGACAGCAATGGACCCGCGATCGGGCATCGCGCATGCGGATTTGTGCGCGCGCATGCAGGGAATTCGTGTAACCGTTTTGGCCCACTGTCTGGTCTCTCTGCGACCAGCGAGCCACCGACTGGCTGCGCCACCACCCGCCGCATACAGCAGGCCCCGGGGGACGATCCCCATCGTTCTGGGCCCACCGCGCATCCGAGGGAACGAGCGCCCCACTTCCGCCCACCGAAATCGGTGGAGAGGGTTGGCTGACCTCCAACAGCCAAGCCACAGGGCGTGGCGACTCCACGAGCTTTGGAAACCAGCGGCGCCCTTCAGGGCCGCAACAGCAAGGATACCAAGTGGTTGGAGGATGTTCATGCCCAATTACTTGAAAAAAAGTTGCACGATGGGAGGCTCTCCACCAAGAAGAAAAGAGTCAACATCCCAAGTTTCAAGCTCTACAAGATATATACCATGCCTGGATGAGACCGGAGCGATTGTTGTTAAAAGCACATCCTGATTTCTTCCTTGCAAAAAATGAACTTCGACACATGTTTGGAAGAATATGTACAAAGAAGGAAGAAGAGAGTTATGCATCGGAACGGCAAGAACCCCATTCAGTGTTCAAAGGTGAGCTGGATGCATGGATGCAGAAGTTTGAAGTGAGGCGAACAACGCCAAAAGAGGAAAGGCTTATTCGTTTGGGTATAGCATTCAATGAAGTAGCCGACAGGGATACGTCTGGGCAGGCACAAGATGCATCTCAAGGAGTAGAACACCAACGGATAGGAGGAACATCCCAACCACAAGCAATGTTTGCAGGCTAAGTACAAACTATTGAGGTATGATATATGTATATATTAATAAGCAAAATGATTCAAATTTCATGTGATGTCGAGTTTTTTATGTGTTTTGTAGATGAATTCCAAATTATATTTGTGAATGTGAAGTGAAGCATGTGTTGTGAGGAGCATGCCCCCAAACAGAATGGCTAACATTACTTTTTGTGTTCTTCATTATTGTCAGAGCAAGGGCATCATGAAGTCAAATGCCAAGCTTAATGCAGCCATGAAAGAAATAAAGAAAAAGGTCATGCTAGATGCACTATTCGCAGTCAGTGAACCACAAACAAGAGATTTTGTCCAAGGGATAAGTTTGAATGAGTCGTGGCATGCATTTCTCTTCAACAATATTGTTGTGAAAAGAGGCACCATTACATCTAATGTTCTCAACATTTTCCTGAAAATCTCATAGATAAAATTTAATATCTCTTTTGAAAACAAGAACCGTGGATCAGTGCAGGGCGTTGTGGATCATGCGCTATTGTGCAACATGGCCCAAAACATTATGCATGGCCTGGAAGGTGCTCATCACCAGGCACGGATTATGTGGCTAGAAGATATGGGCAAAGGGCTGCGGTTTGAAGATATGGTTGCCAAGGGATTCGTCTCCAAGTGTCGTGTGCTTGACCCTAATGACCAGTCGGAGGCGTCGAGCACCACACAATGATCAACAGAAAATGAAGACATGTTGCAACAATTCTTGAGCCGAAATCTGGAAACCCAAGAAATCCACGGTAAAGACCCATATTACCACACTGCC